CATTTCGTTCTATTTTAAAACATACAGGTATAGGGTCAATGATCTTTTAACACCAATAAATAACCCATAAAACGTGTAGATAAACCTTTTTATAAACGAGGAAAGTAGCCGATGTCTGTGGGAGCAGACTCATTACTAAAAGCCAGAGGTCATTGATCGGTCGCCGGTAATGGGAACACATTTAGAGAGTAGTTAAACATATATTTATTTGTACAAGGGAACGTAGACACGGGAGAAATGGCACAGGGTAAGGTTTAATTAAAAATTAGCTTTTGCCCGCGACTTCGTACGCGGAATCCCGTTTTCTTCCGTTCCCATAAAATATTCAGGTTTTTTATCTATCATAAGAACCTTCTCCTGAAAATAACAGACACAACATAAAAAAATATGCCAAATTGGTCCAGCCATTCTCAAGTTATGGCGTGACAACGGGAAATGGATTTAATTTTTATATACACACTAGCGGACCCAACAGACGTTGTCCTGCATATCCACTTGAATGTATAAACAAATTAGTTCAGCTGTTTAGGATAAATAACCTAAACATCGACTGCAGGGCCATCTGTCGGGTTGATTTGTGAATCTAAACCATTTCCAGATCCTCTTGAATACACACAAAATTTCATCAAAATCCGTCCAGTCGTTTGAGAGAAGTTCAGTGATACACACACTCACAGAAGAATTATATATATAAAGATGTAGATAATTCTTCTATAAACCACGTTTAAAAAAGCGACTTCAAACTCCTCTTTTTGGATCGGTAAAATAATATACTAAACCCTTTTCCTACGCGTAGAAAACAATTTTCTGAAAACCACATCAAAAACGGTTCAGATCATCGCTAGACAATTGCGGACAAACACACATACATACAGGCTGATAACCTCCTTTTTAGAAGTAGGTTGAAAAAAGCTTCTATTTTAGTGTACCTACAGAACGAGCGGTTTCTGTGTCGATACGATACGAGTCGAGTCGAGTCATTAAAATCGTCTGCTTACCCTTTAAAGATTTATATAGCCTTTTAATTAAACTACTAAGGATAGATGATGTCCCTAGCTTCTGTCCGCGGCTTTGTCCGTGTTCCCGTTGTATAAAAAGTACTTTATTTGTTATTGCCTGCCTCGTTGGCCGAGTGGTCGCAAGTGCGACTGCCGGGCTAGGGGTCTCGGGTTCGATTCCCGGGTCGGGCAAAGTACATATTACTGGGTTTTTAAAAATCTTAGTAGTAGCACGGAGTCTGGAAATGTGCCCGGTATATGGCAATAGGCTCACCTCCTATTACATGGAACTCATAACATAAATAGTGAAAAGTGGGTGTTACATTGTACAGTGGCATTAAATGCCGAAATGCGCACCTCTGCCTACCTCTTCGGGGATAAAAAGGCGTGATGTTATGATGAAGATGGTGATGATTTATTTGTTATTCCCGACCATAATCTATCCCTGTTCCAAATCTCATCCCTATCCTTTCAGCCGTTTTGAAGAGATTAAGTTACAAACATACATACAAACACACTTACAAACGTCCGCATTTATAATATTATTAGTAAGAGGCCGGAGGTCCAATTACCCTCTCCCCCTTTCCTAATCCCTGAGTCCCCAACAACCCTCAAATTCCTAATCCCAAAAGGCCAATAACGCACTTGTGACGCCTCTGGTGTTCCAGGTGTCCGTGGGCGACGCCGATTGCTTACCATCAGGTGATCCGTCAGCTCGTTTACCGGCTTATCCCATAAAATAAGACTTGATCGAAAATTCTTAACGACACATCAGTTTATTCTGCAAAAACTACAAGGTAAATAGAATAAAATCACAAAATCCTCCTGCGAAAGTTCGCACCGTTAACATATTATGTTAATTGCTCGCGACATAACTAATTGGAGCTAACTCGGTAAACAAGCGCAATATAAAGTAGTAACGAGCCGTCAGACGCAGCCTCCCACGGCATAACAACCACTAACAGCCTTTATATATACTTTCTTTACTCTCATTTTATAGTCTCCTGTTTTGCGTTTAAAACGATAAAAGTTTAATAACAATTAGCGTCGAGCAAATTGCTTGAATGAAATATTTAGGTCATGTTTTAGATTTTCGGTTTTATTATCGACGTTGCTGGGTTTAATATTCATTGTCATAATGTTAGGCCAATAAAACAATCTTTTTGCGAAATAGATTGTAATTAAGAAAAAAATATTATACATTGTAAGTTATAATACAAAAACTTTAACACATTTGTATTTCTAACTTTAAATTACTTGTGGGGAGTCAAGTTACCAAGTTAAGTGTTTTGTCGCAAGTATAATCATTCGATGAAACGAGCATCAAAGCAAACAACATAATAATAACTTCACAACTGAGTTTAAAGGTCGGGTTACTTAGCACAACTACGCAGTGTCTACGCCGTAGCTCGTGACTACGGCTACGGTTGCTACGCCGTAGCAAGCAATCGATCGGTGTCTACACCAAACTAATCCTAATGTAACTTAACTTATAATGGCTTTGTTGGGGAAAATAGTTATAGTTCAACATTTTCATAGCTTTTCGTACAAAATAGAATTATTCATGACGGTTATCTCTGGCAATTGTGATAAATGTCGCCAGTGTGACATGATAAACGTGCAAAATACATAAAAACAAGAAATAATTCGGGTCTATTCGTTATCGCCCACGCGTGACAGGCGACGCGACCCCACTATCTATCACACAAACATTTACCTAAACTAATATTTCATATAATTCGGGACACGGCATATCTTTTGGCATTTTTCAAGGAAAATAATTTCGTAGCTGCAAAGAAAATGTTATCCTTTTCCATTAGAAATATGAAATCTACGGCAAGTTTTGAATTACAGATGATTAACACCTTAATGTGTAATTATACAGTTATTAACAGTCACAACAATGTCTGAAAAATCTGAGATACAAAAAATAACTGTAGCTTCATCTCAATAAAAAAAAGTTCAAGGACAAACACTAGAGGAATCGTTTTATAAACAAACTGTACCATATTTCACATTTACAAAGATGTAAGTAGTTCCATTCCAAAAGAAATACAGGGCAAAGAGATGATATGTGTGCGCAATATTTCTGAGAATGTGGCCGACAAATACAAATATATTGAATCGCTCTCACTACAAATACTTTTGAAGAAATGTGAGCTTCGGCCGCGTATAATGGATCGTGTGGTATTTCAGCCTAGACTTCATTACTGAAAGTTACAGGGGTGATAATTATGAAACTATTTCAAGAAGGCTAAGTTCAATATTATAGATGAAAATGAATTGCGTCATTCCCGATTTTTGAAGAAGATTGCGCATTTTGTGTTCTAAGTTAAATTAATTTGAGTTCAAAATTGAAATATACATGTATGTATGACAAAGAGAGATAATATTTATAAGTTAGTATCTTATGTTACCAAACATGATAGAAGTTACTATTGTATTGAACCACAATAGCAAGCATTTATTACCAGGCGACTCATAACTTAATACCGCACATTTTTCTCATTATTCCTCCATCAGAGAATTTGCTAGTGTACACCATTGGAGAATCAATATTTGACAACTCCTGTGGTTGAACAAATGTACCTCCTTCTACATTTGCGCCATCAAGTTGACGAGTAAAAATATGGTAGGCCCCCACCTATAGTAGATTCCCACCTTGACGAAAGTGTAACTACACGTTTCAGTTTAAAATTGTTTAATACCTGTGCGGTGATACCATGCCTATGTTGGTTTCAGTGAGATAAAGATTATAGTGAAATGAAATAGATATAATGTATTCCCTGTTTCATTAACACAACAATAGGGTAGATGACTAATTTTAATTTTAATGTCCGTCTGATAGATTATTTTAAAAAATAACACTCAGGTTTTTTATTTTTTTTTACAGAAACGAATACTCTCGACGATATATTGATTTGAAATGACGCGTGACGTCACTTCTATGTACATTTTATACATAGAAATGACGTTTTAGTTCCCACTCCTAAACATTGATTCGTTATATCTAAGCATCATTTTATTATACAACAAAATAAAAAAAATATATTTGTAATATTTTTTCATTACCAAACTGACGGATTAATGAGATTTTTAATTTTCTTATCCCGTCACCATCCCTATTCTATCGTAACATAATATCTTAACACAATACAGCAAGGTATGTCTAAGTATAACTTGTAGTAATGTATATACGAGTGTCAGGTGTCATACTTTACACATAGTACATAAGTGTCAGGTATCAGACACTGCACAAAAGGTGTTCTTAGTAGCATTGTTCTCGTTGGGACTTCACACGTCCAAGATGTAATGAATACTAAGCTCTGCGATTGTATTCCTTAATGGATTCTAGGTTATACTAGGTTATTATTATATACAACATACCTACAGATGTACAGAGTTTATTTGCGTGACGTATGAACTAACAAAATATTTATATAGTTAACCTGATCTACAGATATACCATAATTGCATTAGCAGTACACTTTTAAACTGTAGAGTACCGTTGTGCTAATTATTAGCTTCCATTTTACCACGGTAATGGCAGCCATATATCAAAATTTATATTCTGTGCGTTTTAACGTCGTATAAGTTGGTGTTTTTTTTTTTTTTAAAACGTTGCCCCACACTAGGATTTTCTCCTGTGTCGTGGGTGCGTTTACAAACATACAAGTTCACATACACAATGACACCCAGACCCGAAACAACAATTTGTGGATCACACAAAGTGTTGTTCCGTGCGTATAAGTTGGTTGGTCTAATTTATCATTATCATTTACCACTAGGCAAGATATTGAGTGGTCAAACGTATCGACGTTTACGTATAATATATATTGGTGAATCGTCACCAAAATATATATATATATATATATATATATATGAAATATGGTTTCTTATAGACAATTTTTTATAAATGAGTAAAGGTGTTCATTTATTCTGCCCATGAACGTAGACATAATGTTGACTAAACCACATATAATTAAATGTTTAGGTACTTACTGCGGCTCATGTTCAGTTAGCAGCTCTTCGAAGTGCAGTCTCAGGGTATGTGCAGGCGGCGCTCGGATCTCACTCACACACTCAACATCATCAGGGTACGGACGGGGGAAGCCGGGGCTCGATATTATAGCGTGCGGGTGCGAGTGAGACAGCACTATCGTCTCGTTACAAAGGATCTTGGACGCGATGTAGGGATCTGCAACAAAGGAAAAAAAGGTTTTTTTTAATTGGCACTTTCAATTTGGAAAGCTTATTGGTAGGTGTATAGTTCTAATTTAGTAAATAGCGCCAGTATAAATATGAAACCTTATTAGTTATACCAAATAATTAATTCCATTAATTATGACATTTCGTAATTAAGCGCAGTGACAGTTTAAAATGGAATAATACCAGGTACTATGTAGTACAAACGAGGTTTTAATATAAACGACGTAATAATAGCATTATGATTAAAAATGTAAATCTATTAATACGAATCAAAATAAGACATTTCAGTGATCAGTTCGCAAACGTGCACAGAATACCTAAACTTATTTGAAAAACAAACAAAACAAATTCAATTCGCAAAACTTAGACAGACAAACATGTTTAAACATGTCACCAGAAATGAAACAAGTTTGAAATAATTCGCAAACAAAATATTAAGTTGTAAAAACCAGTATAGACTGACCGTGGCATGTGCAGAAAAATCATACAAAATGAGACCAGAATAAAGTGGTTTTGTATAGCTTGATTTGTTACAGTCTGAACAATTTGTTTTAAAAAGTATCTTTGTGCATATGTTATGTTGAAGACAGTTGGTTATGTTCATATCCATGGTTACTTTGTTCCCAGTTTGAGCTCGTACACAAAACTGCGATGCGACGACGCATCGCAAGAACTTGCGAATTGATTCGCATTGAATATCAAAATCTTAACTTCCCAAAATCGTCTTTGTTTCTTTTTCCTGTATCTCCTAAGCAATAACAAGTGCACACTTCTTTTTACGACCCTAGTCACGACTTAGTTTTCAATTTAAAATACGTTTAGTATGGTTGACGGTCGTCGAAGGAATGGTCACTCTGGGAGACGCCTTGTCGCACAAATCGCATCGCAGCAATTCGTGTCGTAATTTTCTGCGTTGCGAATTCGCATCGCATCGCAGTTTTGTGTACGAGCCCTTATATCAACTTTGTAATTGACTGGTCTGTGGAAAAGTTTGCAATGAAACGTGCACATAGAGTATACTATAACGCAGATAAGAAAAGTTTAGTACTTCTTTAACCAACTTCAAAAAAAGGAGGTTCTCAGTTTGATCTCTATGTATGTATGTATGTGCGCGAATATCTCGCTATTGGCTCAACTGATTTTGATGCGGTTTTCAGAAAAGTGTCTGTTATAGTTAGGGAAAGGTTTTAGTGTATTAATTAACCGACTTCAAAAAATAATGGCCTTGAAGTCGGTTTTATTTAAACGCAGTTTCTGAAAGAAGAATTTTGTAAATCGTTGTCCCATGCTTAGATTTTTTCCTTTGTCGAAGGTGCGCTAATAAACACAAATTATACACCACACCCAGGCTTCGAACAACCATCTGGGGATCACACAAAGAGTAGTTCTATGCAAGAAGAGAAGGTACTCAATTACTGCCCCCACGGAATAGTATTCTATATTCCGTCACTGCCCCAACCATGCAATATTTAATAGTACGAAGTTGTATAGGTACTTTATAATGGAATTAACGTTTTGTAACAATTGGTCTTCTCAGCAGTCAACTAAATGGTTATTTTTTAAACTTTGTCCCACACTAGGATTTTCTCCTGTGCCGTGGGTGCGATTATAAACATACAAGTTGACAAACACATGACATCCAGACACAGAACAACAATCTGTGGACCACACAGAAGAGTTATCCCGTGCGGATATCGAAGCCGCGACACGTTACGCGACAAAGCCAGTTGCCCAGCCACCGCACCAACCGTGCCATAAGGTGCTACATGAATTTACCATAAGGTACTAAATTAATTTTAAATTTTTTTTTTGTGGTCTATGTAGATACAGTAGATATGTATGTCCTTGTGTATACGTTGCAGTTGACGATACAAAGGAGGTTGTTATTCCAACGGTTGTTTTTGCATTTAAATTGAATGGTTGAAGAATTCGATTCTTGTTGCAAGAAATATCTTTTAAATTCGATACTTCAGACGTTGTCTCAGTCTCTACTAGGATTATTAAAATTTTGTATATAACGACTTCATACCCGGTAAGTTTTTGTGACAGATAGTTCAAACAAATCAATTACGTTCTTAATTGTATCCGGCATATAACGTCTCCAAGTGTGTTTCACATGGAATTACAACGCAAACAAAGTATTTAACTGATAATCCTACTAATATGACAAATGCGAAATGAACTGATGGTAACTAATCGGCGCCGCCCATGGACACCTGGAACACCAGAGGTGTTTACATGTGCTTTATCGGCGTTTTAGGGATTAGGAATTTGAAGATTGTTTTGGATTCAGGGATTGGGGAGATCGGGGACCTCACTCACTCGACGAAACACAACGTACTTAAGCGTTGTTTCACATCGGTTTTCTGTGAGGCCGTGGTATCACTCCGGTCGAGCCGGCCCATTCGTGCCGAAGCATGGCTCTCCCACACTTTGTTTCTCATTCTCGTCAAAACGGCTGAAGGGATAGGGTCGAAACATGGAACAGGGGTAGGTTGTGGTATGGAATAACACATAGGCTACTTTTTATTCCAACGCCGGAACGTCAACTAAGGCGCTAGCAGAACCAAGTTACACATAGTTAAGTCGTATCAAGTACCAATAATTAGTTGTTGTTAAATACATGTTAAGTACAGTTACTTAGTAGGTAGTATCTCGAACAGTTATCGTGGACATGAACGAAGGCGCAATAAATCAAACTGCCACTCGTTTACGAGCGCCGCCGCAGGATAATTATTTACTTAATTGCCTCTCTCTGATGTGATTTACAGGGATCTGGTGGTTTTTATCGCTATACGTTCTTGTTTTTTATGTCTGGAACCAGCACGATTGCCTAACTATGTATATGTTTTTGCTTCAATTCTAAGGCGCCCCGTAGCCCAATTATAATACCCCTCCCCTCCAATCTCCTCTATCTCTGAATCCCATACAAGCCTCAAATTGTTAATCCCCAAAAGGCCGGTAACGCACTTGTAACGCCTCTGGTGTTCCGCGTGTCCATAGGTGACGCCGATTGCTTACCATCAGGTGATCTGCTCGTTTACCGGCTTAGTCCATAAGAAAATATCGGATTTTCGAAAAGTCTCAGTAATAAAGCGACGGCTGGAATGGTGTTCGGTGTATAGCTTTTTACAGTGAGCCAATGTCATCAATACAATCCTTGACAGTTACCCACTCAATAAATTATTATGTTTCCGCCTTACACACGTAGTAATTCGACGAGGAACTCGACTAGTTTCAAGCCACGCTAGAGGCTCATATTCATGAGCTAAGCTAAGCAAACTAGTCGCGTTCGTCGTCGAATTACAACGTGAGTAAGCCGAAAACATAATAATTTATTTAGTATGTCTCACGAAAGTTACAATACAAATACAGTTACCCACTCGTTATAAGTTTTCTATAATGTAGCTTAACCTACGTTCAGTGAGCTAGCTATATGGTTGTGAACACAGAACGTAAATAGACCACGAGTCAATTATCACCTTTATTATAATGACTGTAAGACCCACTGCTCTTAATGTTCCTTTTCCATTAACATTTCCCATTTATTTCACAGCAGTCCGTGTCTCTACAAGTCTTAATAGCCGAGAACAGCTTCATTAGACCACAATACCTCCTTTTACAATCTTGTCCATTTTTTTAACACACCAAAAATCCAATTTATCTTGGTCTAGCTTTCTATGATCTTTCTGCGGATTCAAGGGTCAGTTTATACTGGTTTTGTGTGAGTTGATGTGTACTGGTGTGTACATCGGTGTCCCTGATAGAGCATTGTCCAGAGTACAGTCGCCGCAGCCATTGTATCGTATTCGCTTGGATGTTTGTCTCGAGTGTACCAAGAATGGCGACCGCCACATTGTGCCTTTATCTATCACTGTACCGGTTGTGGAACTTTGATATTTTTACTGAAACGTTTGTGATTTATGTGTGTGTTTGTTTGTTTGTTTGTTTTGTTGGATCTATGTGTGTGTTGTCATTGCAATACTTAGGTTACGATTGCTTTTATGTTTGGTTTACTTCTAATATAGAGGTAGTATGTGTTGAATTGAAAACCTGTTTCTTTTTTCTTAAAATAACCCAACCATCTGAGCCTATAGGCTACAAATAAACAGAGACACAACATTTTGTTACCTTTTAATTTCAGTCTATCTTTCAGAGTAGTCATATAGAATCTGCCTTGTTGGCTGAGTGGTCGCAAATGTGACGGTCAGGCAACGGTTCGATTTCAAGGTTGGGCAAAGTAATACTGGGTTTTCAAAAACCAATAGGCTCATAGCATTAAGTGCTGTAATGTGCCTCTGCCTACCCCTTTGGGGATGAAATGCGTGATGTGCACTCTGACCTCATTTAGAATTATTTCAAAAAGGTTATTAAGGGGCTTATTATTAGAAATACATCATTAAACATGCCATCATTTATGTTACAAAAGAACAATAAATGCAACACTCGAACATATTGACGTCAAACATAACAAACGATACAAATTATGTAGAAGCGAAGACATAACCGTGGAGTATCACCTGCCAAACAGATTACCTGATCAGGTAAACACGGTCTCTCGGCTCACATCTGGATAAAGATCGCAGTCTCTAAGTCCCTCGTCTCACACAATTACGCATTCCAAACACGTCCAAACTCCCTATTGACTTGTAGCACAAGCATTCAATATAACACCTGTCCTTTTTTTTCTAGCGAAGTGTGAAAGGGATAGACTATAAGATTATGTAAAGGACGCTTGCGAGAAGTAAGTGCGGAAGGATTTTGCTGTTTACTTCGGTATTTCATTTATAGTACGATTTGCGATTTTTTTTAGATGCGATTTTTTTTTGTTAGAGAACAGAAAATGCTATTGGTTTGGTAATAGGGTTGCCTAGTTTTTATTTTAATGTCCACTTGGTAGATTTATTTGAAATCATCAGACACGTATTTTTTATTTTCTTACAGAAACGAATACTTTCGACGATATATTGATTTGAAATGTTGCGTGAC